AAAGGGTCTAATAATACTTGTAAATAAAAATCTAGATGAAAATGAATGGGAAAAGTATTTCAGCTATTCTTATGAAAAAAAATCAAAATATTTCGTGACGATTTAAGCACTTCTACCAAAAACTCACCGAGAATATACTCAAATGTATGCTCATTAATAACATCTATTATAGGACATGCAATTGTCCTTCGGTTGCGATGGATTTCAGCTAAAAGAGCCTCGAGCCAGTATGGAGTGACTTCGCAATGAGCGTCTAGAAAGGTGAGAGTTTGCCCCGTAGCCAGCTCAGCGCCTACAAGACGAGCACGAATAAGGCCAGAACGATTTTCTAGGCGTTTCAGATGAATACGAGTAGACAAGCGCGATATATAAGCGTCCAGTTGGGAGTCCAGATGGCCTAAGTCAATAGGAAAGTTTGATTTTTTAAAGTGAGCAAATGCTGGGATATGAAAGAAGCAAATAAATGCTAAGGGAAGCTCTTAAAGTTGACTGTGCGCAGGCGGCATTCATAGTTCATAAAATAGATAAGGAATGAAAAGTTATTGGCGACAATTTCGAATTAAAATCGACACTATTATCTTCGTACAAAATAATGCGAAGGATAATAATATAAAGCATTGGTATCAAGGGAAGGCTTAGATTGATAAATGAGCCCAGTGCGAAAAGTAATAAAAAATGATAGATACAAATAAAAAATAGATGCTAAAAGTATGAAATAGTTTCTAAAAATATTGAGGCTAGACAATAAAGTCAAGCGTAACAAGTAAAATGTTATCTATATTGAACTTAAAAATACCCCTAAGGTATAAAATAACTTTTTTCCAAATTCAACCAACCTTGGGGAGAACAAGCATGCAAAATAATCTTTAAAATTAGAGAACTTGACATTATCACGAATGCTCCATATCCTGGAGTTTAAATAAACGATAAGGTATCTTCCTATGTACATCTAGAATAGAGTCCGAGAAAGATAGACATTCCTTATAGCAAAAAAAATCAAATTTAAGGTTGAATATGCGTCTAAATATATAAGAATGTACAGAAAAACAAATATTAAA